TAATAATAATAATGATAATAAATGCGAATATTTATATAAACAGTGGCATATTCACGATTTTTGTATGTGAGGGGAAGGCTGTAGGTGTAGTGTCCAACAGACTCATTTCTTATAAAGAATTATTCATTCATGCTGAACTAAAATTTTATTTTACATTTTTGTTTATGGATATTTAGTGTAACGCATTCAATTGCAAAAATGAATGACTTTCGTTGGTATAGAAAATTAATGAAAGCCATAGTTGTGTGTAGTACCATCGGTGTATGTGGGTTGAATCTTCGTGACCCCCCACACTCCTACGTGCATATATGATATTTACATCAATGATCTTGGACCTAGTTACAAATATATACATTACTGAATTTGTATGTACATATGCAGTAAAGTAGAACTGGATACTATTAGACCAATAAGTCTTTTAGTGGTTTTCCAGTGTTTAAAAAACCATACACCATTGAATCAAAACGAGAATTTCAGTTTACTTAAACGAAATTAATTAAATATGTAAACAACAATTTAGATTTACAACAGATGATGCTCTTAATTCTTTTCTAGAATACTCGTGATCCCACTAACTCTGGGCCACCTCCATAACTTCTAAACGGTCCACAATACCGAAAAGCAGCTCAACAATGCAAAATAAAGAGGCATGTAAAATACTGTAGAGATATTGTTCGACATATTTTTAGAAATGTATTCGAGAAATTTAACCATCTTTGATTTTATAAATGAAACAGTATATTTTTCTCACAAGCAATAGATAAATCATAAAATGGGGAGTACATATGTTAATGTTTGATTCGATTTTGAGTACGTATAAATTATAATTTCTGATATGTGATTTTAAATTAAACGTAAGGCGGGCTTCGTGGCGCCGGCACAGTTGGGGGGAGAGGGGAGAAGCCGCGAAAGCCTCCTTCCCCAAAAGCGGCAGTTGCCAGGGCTGCTACAGGAAATATTGCACGTGTAAATTAAAAGTCACTTGTCAGAAAGTATAATTTTATACTCAAGATACTAAATATTATTATTATTATTATTATTATTATTATTATTATTATTATTATTACTATTATATTTACGAAATTAAACATATTCGGCGTATATTTGTAAAAGCCCAGTCATTTCAAGCAAAACAAACACTGAAGCGTATTTCTAATAATGTTAGCAGTAGACAATGTTGGTCTTTTTTCATTTTTGGCCTGAGAAGCTTAGATTTTCGTAGAAAATATATTTTTGTAATTTTGAAATTTTGTCGTTACCTGTATGTCATTGCAACTTTATTCGCTCTTCCAAGGGGCCGGAGTGCTGTGGCAGATAAGGGGGCATTAGCATCATTTGTGAACAGCAAGTGCACTGCAATTGTGAAGGTCAGCAAGCGACCTACGATTCTGTCAGCCCATACGTGGGATTTTATTTCTTGGCTCGCGAAGCTTTGTCTTCGCGATGGAATATCTCACGGAATGTCGCGTCTTTCTCAGTCGTGCCGCTAGATGTCGCATGATGGCGACCGTATCGAGCAGCACTGGCGATCATCGACGTGTAGCGGCACGGCCGAGAAAGACGCGAAATATCGTGAGATATTCCATCGTGAAGGCAAGACCTCGGGCGCCAAGAAATAAATCTCAAGTATAAGGTCTGGCGCGGTTGCAGGAATACACGCGATACGGGCTGTAGTACGCTTCAATTCCATTACTTCAAATATTTTTGTTTTGGATGGTATCCAAATTTTATATTTTTTTCTTAGGAACTACTTAGAAATATCGTCACCTCCTTGAACCATGTAAGAACAATTGTCTAGACATTATAAAAAAGATAAATCGCCAAAAAGAAGAGTCTTTTTTCAGGAAAATGTCATGGGAAATATTTGTTCACCATTGGGGGAGAAGACAGTGGTGATTTTTTTCTCATCCCAAATGACTCACTGCGTATCTACACGCCATGTACGAAAATAACGATAGCAACGTATCGTATCCTGGAAGTCGGGTTGCCAGTTGCGTGCGAACGGGCGCGTCTTCTGTTAAGCGCTTGCGCAACTGGGTGCGGCCACTCGTCACGGCTTCACCATTCGTCCTCCCGTGAGGCGTCCGGCGTCCCCGCGCTGTATTACTTCAGCGCGCGCCGCTTAGTCTCTTATCAGCAGCCACGATGATCGCCCGCCTGCGCATCTGGGTCCCCGTTGCCTTCCTGGCGCTGCTTGTCGCTTGCGCCTATGCCGCTAAAGAGGGTGAGCGTTAATCCCGTCACTTTACAAAGTCGATTAATTGATTTTAGTGTTTTTAATTTCGTTGGTTTGGCAAAAGAAAATTGACTTCTCACTGGCCAAGACTGTTCGTAATGATGCTGCTACGTACTCTACTAGTTTTCCTTCTGAAATATGTTTTTAAATTAAGAAAAATGTGTAGTGCTTTTTAAGATGCGTTTTCCAAATTTCTTGTGAAAAGTATAGTTAGGTTCAGTAAATTTCTTAACTATCTAAGTTTAAGCAAATCGAGAAGTGTCTTTCGATAAATTACCATACAGCCCACATTAAAAAAACACAAGTTTGGGGGATTAAGAAACAATATTTCTAAACTAAGTCAATCCTAAATGATTTTTTTATAATGCCTTCTTCACTATGTCTACGAGGAAAATGATTGGCAGCACTCTAAAAAGAACCTTCGGCTACTTATTACCGGAACGAGCTCTTCTCCCTCGCTCTTTTAGCTGCTTTTTTTCGTGGTTATCGCAAGAGTCAGATAATGAACATTATTTTGTAACATTTTTGTAACACATTTTAATTGTTGTATAATTGATATTTCGTGTTTAAAATATGTAAGGTGCACTTAAGGTAAAAAATTATGTAAGATGCGAGAAACCTTTATAACTCATTTTGATAAAAAGCTATAGATATAATCGATTGATATTGTTGAAACATGCGTCATCGAGCGTGTGTCTTTGATAAAATAATCCTCAATTGTGATGATAACCCGGTCATAACAAGGCCATAACGAATCTTCCGAAGAATAACGTTCAAACTTGATTTCCAGAGAAACGTGTTACGTACGTCCAGTTATTTATAAATCTATATTTAAAATCGCTAACATGCATTTAGTCGGTACGTGAGGCAGATAAGTAATTAATACTTCACTCGATAACTAATTATTGTGTCTGAAGGTCCGCATGTTCAAATTCCAATGTTCGTAAGGATATCTCAGCTTTTTGTAATAGAGATGGCATTCCCCTACACAAATTCAATCTTGAGAAACTGGCATTAGTATCTAATATGAAGAGCCCCTACGATTGTAGATGCCAATACATTGTAACAATTTTTAAAAAAACGTAAAATTTCAAAGATGTAGTTAGGCAAACATTGTGACAATTAATTTTATTTCCGCGCTCCGCCCTCTCCCACGCGCTCCACCTAGTCGGCGACACATATTGGTCCCTTCAGATTAATTTCAATCTCTGGCGTTGGAGCGTCGTAGTTGTAACTTACTATATATCTCATTTCTCATGTTTTTATTTGCTACTGTATTTTTTGCTTTGAATTAATAGAGATTCAGTCAATCAGATTCTTCTCTTACGAGTTCATTTTGTAATAAAAACCTTTTGGTCACTGTAGTATTTTTCGTTCATATCACTTTATCAAAAGGTTTAAGAAATTTTCAGTGAAATTTTCGCTGAAATACTTTCTTCCAATTATCCATGATAAAAATTGCTTTTAGTCATTGGAAGACACGCTGAGACAGACTTATTCTTGACAACAAATTGTGGCACACATCGAGGACATCGTTTTGTAAACTAATCCTCCACATTCCGACCTTGACAACCTATTATTATGGATTCAGGCTGCTATCTTTAAAAGTAGACAATTTTGAATTTACAACTGAGGTGTACCTCTTACAGACCACATTTGCCTGAGGATATCCCAACAATGTAATCTTTTTTTCATGAATGTAAACTTATAATCCCCGAAAACGTTCAGCCCGAACGGGTAGCTAATAAATAAAAAGTAAAAAACAAATATTAGACAACAAAGGACTTTTAAGTAATAGAATTGGAAACTTCTCTGAACCGATTTCAAGGTTGAAATAATTCGTTAATAAATGGCTCTAGATTTCCATTCTGTTAAATGAAATTGAAGTGGAATGAATAAAAGAATACAAAAAATTATGACAAAATTTAAGAAGACTAACAATTTCGTACTCTCTCAATTTGACACAATTTGATCATTTTGTTCTTGTTCTGTTTGAATTTCAGAGATTCCCAACTCTGACTGCAACAGCGATTCTCAATGTCGGTCGTGGTCGAACGCGAAATGCAACGACAGAGGGCGGTGCGAGTGCCTGGAGGAACACACTCTCTTCAACGACACTGGATGCGGAAAGGGTAAGGCTGCCAGACCTTGCGGCGAGGTCTCAGACGCAACGGCTAAGCCGCGCTCGGCGGCCTCAGCGCTTCAAAGAGCAAGGCAAGGCCAGGCCCGATTTGCTTACAAGCAAAATAAGCAGTGGCTTAGTGTCGTCGTACACGGGGGACCCCGCGCCTCGAGAAAAAAAAAATCGAAAAAAGGCTTGAAATATGTTTAATATGAAATAATTGTTGATAAAAAATGTGCTGTTCTAAAAAGTTCTGTATTTAAGAATTATTTTTTTAAAACTATTTGATAAATGTTAATGCAGTTGTAGAAAATATATTTGAAATGTATTTAAATAAAATTATAATATTTGTTAAATGATCTGCAAGTAATTATCGGTTAAAAAATCAACAACAAAATTGCATAAAATTAACAAAATTTTAATTGTGAATTATTCCATTAATTCCAACTAATTTCTTAATTTTCTTTAGTATTTGTACATAATGCTTTATTTACCTTCCTTTTAATGTGAAATGAAATAAAAACTGTCCTTATCTTACAATGTACAAAACGAATATTAATTTAAAATGCAGGATACAATAATTGAACATTTTAAAATCCCATATTTCGAAAAATTGTTTAGATGATTAATGCTTTAAGTTTAACTGTTAGAAAGAAATTAGAGTACTTGAATACAATATGAATGCAAAGTCTTTTGCATCACAATGACAGCAATTGATATATTTCTAATTTGATACATTATTTTTTCTTGTTTTATTGTGTTAACTACGATACAAGAGAGATTTTATATCTTCATTCTTTGTATGGGCCTCGTTCGAGAAGCATTGGACAGAGCAAACATTCGAAGGAGGAAGTAAAATGTTTGGATGGCAGGCGGGTTTCTGTCCTCCTGTCCCGTTTCGGGTGGTGATCGTTCATCAGATTATGGTAGGAGAACACCTGACGTGCTCTCATGGATTAAGTTGGTTTAAAATGGAGAATGTATTCGTTTTCTGACGTCAGTTTTTTCCATCCAGGGTTTTCTTTCCGCCGACGAACAGCGAGTTTAGAATTATTGAGTGTAGGCTTTGTGAAGTCTTAAATGACTTAGGTTTCCGTATATAAAGTCATGTACAATGTGTTTAGCATTTGTAATGAATAGCGTGCTATTTGAAAGAAAAGTAATTTAAATTCTTGACATGTAATACAGTTCGTCATTCAAGAAGTAAGAGTTACCTGATAAGAACATATGTTTTTATTAACAAATGAAAATAAATATTTAATCATCAATTATTGTTTTATATATCAATTCTTGGTCTATATGTAACCGCAGCAAAATATTTTTGTTCCAGGAGTTCGTGACCGGTGTTATGAAGGACATTGTGACGCAAACAATACTATATGTCACACTGATGTTTGCATTTGTAAAGTAACCTACACTGCAAATTACAACAACACATTCTGCTATAAACGTATGCTCACCTTCGCTTTGTAAATGTGATGCGTTTTTAATCACTAAGGTTTTCAAAAAGAGTAAGTGCAAAATCTTGTGTTTTTTTCTTTTTGCAGAGCCTCAGGAGTATGGAGACCTGTGTAACACAACAAGCGAATGCCCGGATTTCGGGGACGGAAGAGAGTGTAATAAAGGACGCTGTGGTTGTCAAGATGCCTTCGCTTTCAATCATACCCAAAAACTTTGCAAATACAAGATCGGTAATTATAAAATTAGTGAACGTAAAACGCGACACTAAATCGCTTATAAAACAATGCCATGCATTTTGCCTAAAGTGAATTGCATATTTCATTTCTAACTACTTTAAAAAACTCAATGAAATAATTATTTTTTTATAGACGAAGTGGGGAAAGCATGCAATGAGAACCAGATATGTTACCTCGAAAAGGACGGAGACAACCAGCATGTGCGCTGTGTCGACGATGTGTGCAAATGCATTGGAAAGCTCTCCAAAGACAAGCAGTCTTGTTCCGGTAAATAAATTATTTCTTTCCTAATTCAGATCCCTATACATTGAAAATGTAATAGAAACTTTTCTATTACGTGTTGAGACTAATAAATTACTTAAATAATTATTATACGTGGTAAATTACATTATTAAACACATTATAGTATACGAATTTAACCGAATTCAATATGTTAAACAGTACACAAAAATGTTTGACATCGCCATGACAGGAACTCAGCAATTGAAGGAGGATGCGAATCAGAAGGAGTGGATAAATTCTAGTGTGTGTATGTGTGTTCAGAAGAAAAATTAATCAAATATATTTCCATTTTCAGATATTATGTTTCGAGTTTATTAATTCTATTACTTGCAGTGCTTAATTTGATTGCTTTTTCAGCGACAAGTCTTTGTAATGAATCAGTTCAATAAATTCTAGGCAGACTGGGCGATAGATAAAGATATGTATTTCTGTTTGCTGTAGAAATTTCGTGATGCTGAACGCATACATACACATACATGCGCGCGCGCGATAGTGCATATGTGTATGTGTATTCAGAAAATAAGAACACTGAGGGAACCTGGCATCATTCAAAGAGAACAGTAGCAGAAGAATTTACTTGTCGGGTGGTCCTCAAAATTGTCAGTAGAATAGTATGAGGTGCAGTAGTTCGTTGTGCTGTTTTTAAAGTGACGGACGCCATATTGTAATCCTTATAGATGTTTTAAAAAAATTCTTTGTTTTCAAAAATATTTAGCTATCATCAGTACAATTATATTCCAGAATTTAATTGTTGAGAAATAATAAACATGAAAAAGCTCTGATAATAAATTCAAGAAAACTCTGTGGTAATCTTCCTTGAAACATTGCAGTTCGAAAAGTGGATTCATATTTACTCCCCACACACCTATAACGATACTTCTGTATCTAGGTTTTGGTTTAGATAATTACTAATAATTTCATACTGAGTGCAGTGACTAGTAATGAAAAAGATTTAGTGAACTTTAAACTTTTAATAATTTTAGTTAACACTGTAGGTTTTTCATTGTTTCAAATATCCCTTAACAAAGTAGATAGTTTTGTAGAAGGACTTCAAAAACACTTGCTAGCACTGGCTCCCCTGGTAATGTAGAGCCACCCTAATTTCAGAGTGGTAGGTCTTGCCCAACATTGGATGTATGACTAATAATAATAATAATAATAATAATAATAATAATAATAATAATAACAATAATAAAAATAATAATAAAATAAATAATAATAAAAAATAATAATATTAAAATAAATAATAATAATAAAAATAATAATATTAAGAAGAAGAATTATTGTTATTGTTATTATTATTATTATTATTATTTCTACAATTACCCCTCATTCTCGAAGACATTAAAATGACTTTGAAACTATAGGGACAGTTTCACCTTTTGAGCCTTGCTTTATTTACCGTGAATGTGTGTGTTTCAGGTGCTGCCACGTTGCTGGCATCTACGAGCGCGCTCCTTATTGCGGTCCTAGCAAGGTCGCTAACGTAACCGCACATCTACTCATTTTTTTTAAGAAAAATGTTGATTTCGAGATGCATGTGAATATTTGCTCTGCATGTGTATGTGAATTGTCGATAAATGATGTGCGTTGTGCACGTAAATTGTTGATTTCTCTAAATACTATCTTGACAAACAAGAATTTTGTAGTTTTGAATTTAAGGAAATGTGATTTTAATAAAAATAACACAAGTTTTAAAAAGTGTCGTCGCTTTTATTTCATGTAATTCATGCTTGGTCTACTTCTTTTCCACTGCAGGTACTTTGCATCAAGGTGAAAAATGACTTCGGCGATAGCGGTATTCCTAAAACCTCACTCAGAAACACGATAGTGGTTATCTGTAGATATTCATTATCTGTTATGACACCGAATAGGGCGAGGGGCTCTCAGATAGGGAAGGTTCATAAGCTTTCGTGTATTTCAAAACTGTTTCTACAACTTTTGTTATCACTGCAAATATAAAAAGGTAAAATAAAAACCGTTAGAGCAAGTGTGTATTTCTATAAAATTTTTGTAGCATTTTGATATCTTTTTAATCATTTTATCTTTGCTCCATTTCTAACCGTTGATGCCTTTTTTGTGTTTAATACTTACATTACTTTTCCTCTGTAATTATTGTTTTACTAAAAATAATAGTACCTTATAATCCGGACGATAAGGTAGATAGACACTGCTGCAGAAGATCTGCTGTGAGCCTAATCGCATGATCACCCTATAGTCCAGATCTCTCCAGCAGCAATTTTCATCTTTTCTTACTTCAGACGAAATTCCTGTTCGATCACCATTTTGCATAATACAGTGGCGAACAATTGCAGGTGACTGTCCACCACTAGTACCTATCCAAGGCGGCAGAGGTGTACGTTCCAAGGTTCAAGTACATCTAGGGCGGCTTTTGCTATATCTGCTGCAATAAAGTTTTCCCATGAAATTGTTTTCTTTTGGTTAACGATCTAGGGAAACTTACTTACTAGATCCTCCACCTACTAACTTGTCTTTCAAATGATTTTGTGCAAACGCTCCGCTAACCTATTGGTGTTAAATTAAACAAATTATTGCCTTGACAAATATTAACAATTAATATCATCAAATTGAGACAAAAATACAAATCCTGTAGCTGAACCTTTATCAAGAATTCTACACCTGGTGTTTGGAATTACAAGGGACCGGGCATCTATAAACAAAGTCAATCCGCTGATATTTTCTGGTGATGGCCATTTTTTGTAATTTTTTTGATAGATAAATAACTGTTACATAGAGATCATACTGAAACATGAAAATCCTTGCATAGTATTCAAAATACACTGAGTGAAGAATTTTTCCTACTAAGCCGCTTTCTTGCTTTCCATTTCATTTCCTTCTCTTATTGTGAACTCGTTCCATCCAGGAATTTTTGGGTAGGTCAAGTCAGTCGAGCATGGTCTTGAATATATTCTTTCTCTCTTTCTTTTTTTCTATTTTCTTTCTTAACTTTCGTTATTTCTTTCCTTTCGTTATTTCATTTCTTTCGTTATTTCTTTTCTTTCGTTATTTCTTTTCTTTCTTCCGAGTTTTAAAAACGTATTCCGAGTTTCAAAGACTAATCCATTAAAAAAACAATGATCTATGAAGGTGAAAGTAGTTTCCGTGATACAACATTCTAATACATGTGTAGAATTTTACTTTCTCGCTACAGAGCAGTGAGAAGTTATGTAATGCAGCGCGAAAAAAGATGAATTTCCGTCAGAAAAACTCTTATTAGAGGGCCTTGGTAACGAAAAACTGACTAAATTCAATTACTAACTTTAGGGGAAAATTCTCTAACACCGGTGTAGCCAGAATCCATATTTTATGGGTCCTTGATACAGAAAAATCGAATGGCGGCAAAACGTGTCTGAACAACGCGTGCGGCTAAACCGTTCAGCCGATTTTCTCCAAAATGGATATTCCTCAATTGATCTGGCTGATGTAATGTCTTCTTGAATTTGAAACCGTTTATTTATTTTTGGAGGATACTTTACATGAAGCCCATGGTATATTTTCCAAATAAAAAAATACTCTATCGTTTTTTATTAAAATGTGTTGTTAGGTGGTGTAAAGGACGTACGCGCAGGTCTCCTGTTCGTAGAAAGCTCTGAGTTTTCGAAAATTGCAAAAGTTCAAAATTTTTCCGGGGTCATTTCACAACAATTATGGAGATACAGATTTTTCCCTTAACGGAATCTGTTTCTTTATGATAGATTTTGAAATAAGGTCATGTACATTTTCTCGAAAAGTTGAGCACCTTTTCCGTAATTAAGGGCGAGAAAGTACGTGGTTTTAGCATCATAATTACTTTCTTACCTACCACGTCCTCACGTAATAAAGAGAAAGTATTGTAATGCCGTAGCAAAAATGGACAATTATTTGATACAAAAATTGGTGTGGTGGATCCCTATTATGGAAAAAGTGTAAAAATCTTATCCATTTAAGTTGTAAATTACTTTATCGCATGCTGTAGTCAGAATTCATGTATTTGTAGTGAACTTTTATCTATGATAGACCAAAGAACGCTTGAAAAGGCGCGGGTCTTATTTTCTTTAATGTCTCCAAATTTTCGAAAATTGCAAAAGTTCAATTTTTTCGGTGTCTTCCTATAATATTGAATAGACACATTTTCGTTTTGAATTAAGTTTTGCAAACACAGTCATTCAACAAACATTTCATTAAACTGTCTGAATTTTTCGAAAATTGTAAAAGATACAATTAATGTAACAAAGTGTCTGATTTTGTAGTACCACAAGATTTTCCTATCGATGATGTCATCCTTTTATGTAAAAGCGGGTAAAAACAACTGAAGAAATTCATAAAGCAAATACCACATTATTGCACTAATGAAATAAACAATTTAATAATAATAATAATAATAATAATCTTTAATAATCTTTAATACTCCTTATCATAACCACGTATGGAAATAACGCAAAGCAAATTATATAAAGATTCTATTATTTTCTAACATCATGGTCTGTACTACATTTTTTGCGCAGCATTAATTTGTTAAGTGCTCCGAAATTGAACGCTAGTATCTTTACGCGTATCTATCCCATGCAGTGGTAAGCATCGCCTCGCGATAAGATAAACTCTGCAGACCGTCACACTCGTTCATTGTTTTTGCAAGACATTTCTTGGAGAAGATGGCGGAGCTGCGTCTGTTGTTGACGTTAATTGCACTGGTGACCGTCGCCGTCACCGTCGACGCTTTCCCCAATGCCGGTGATGTCCTCCTGCGGAAGGAAGTCATCAAGAGTAAGTAGCATTGGAACTTTCTGTTGTTCCGTTATCGGGATTCACAGGAATTGTAAGGCGAATTAACAAGAATTTTGCATGGAAAAATCAGGCCTTATTATTTTTCTGGTAGAATGGCCAAGTAGTAATGCAAGTGTTGCAGCCCTTATAAACGGGATGTTGAAATTCAGTGTTTTACTTTTTGGAGCGAAGTGAATACATTGATGAAGGCATCGCAATGTTTTGAAATATTTCTTAGACTTTATCGATACTTCAAGACCACGGAATTGTTTTGACATCAACATACTTCATTTTTTTTACAAATTTATTTCGTTTCCTAATGAGTCTCTAATCCCGCTTTAGTTTAGTAAATTATAGTTTAATCTTAGAAACACAATAGAAGATACCTTAAGGATATAAGTGATGATTCTCGGTGTTATGGGATGGAAAGGGTTAAGACAATTAAGCTACTACATGATTTAATATTAGTTATCATATAATTGCTCTTGTTTGTTATACGAGACTACTTAAGTGGGATTAACATGAGTAAAGTCACTCTCTAAAGGATAACGACTATTCTCAGAGAAATAAAATTTCTTAGCAAGCAATTTTTTCATTATTTCAAATATTGTCAATACTTCATAGGTGACAAAATATGTTGCAAGAATATTTCAATATAAAATTTACAAATTACGCTTTTAAAATTGAAATAAACACCAGATACTTGAATTGTTAACAGAAGCCTGCAAATATGACCGTGACTGTGCAAGACACGCCTACTGCAAACTTCAAAGTGAATGTACTTGCAAAGACGGTTTCTTCATCTATAAAGAAGACTTATCGAAGAGCGAGGTGTGCTTAAAACGTAAGTTCTAAAAAATTATCTGCATGGAATTTGCTCCAATTTTATCGCTGATATAATACAAGTATAAACGGCAAGGAAATTTATCATTATTTAATACATTCTACTTTATTTACGTTCTCTCTATTTCTCTAAATCCGAAACAAAGCAAGGTGAATATAAACACATAAATTTTCTTGATGAATTAATTTGGCCCAGTTTCAGTTACATGAAAAAGGTACACAAGACGATTATACTGAAGCAGTAGATATCCCGAGAATACTATTCGTTGCCGAGAAGAAATAACAGGCTGATTCATCTAAACTGTAAATCATGCATGTGGGTTTCAAACGTCAGGTACAAAGCTCAATATAATGCTAGCGACATACGAGCGTTGCAAAACGTACGTCGATGACGTCCATCAATTTAACGTCCGTTTGTTGGCGAGCCACAAGAATACGATTACCAGCGCGCACGTTTCTTCATTTATCGGGTGGTCTCACGGAGTTGGCGTTCGTGTGTTACATTTAAACTAAACTCACAAAACATAAAAAGGAAAAGATGGAGGGAGCATTCCATTAATTGCGAGCATATTTTGAAGGGCAAATTGAACCCCGTGTTTCAGATTTTATGCAACGACGGAGCGACATTTTAAAAATTATTTCCGAAAGACCGAGCTGTCGTTCGGAGAATTGCATGATCATATTAAAGGGAAAGATACATATATTGAGTGTGGTATACCACCTGCAGAAATACTTGCATGTGAACTTTATTAATTAATATTTCAATGTCGAAACTATTCATTTTATGAATTGAAATACATATACCGCTGGTTCAACGCGGTTCAACGTAAGTTGCTAGTACTCTAAATGATCTAAACGCTATGGATGCTTAAGAAGATACAACGCCGTCAAGAACAAGGCACGCGGGGTTGGGAAATATTTAAGTATTGTTTTTGAAATTCGTATTTTAAATACATTTTGTATTTTAAAAACTGTCTTTGAGTTCTTTGGGCATGTATTTTGGAGATGTATTTAAATATATACAATGGGTGTATTTAAAAAACTAAAAATAATTTAAATACAAATGAAGAAGATAACGAGTAAAGAGTATTTTTGTTTGATTTCTCTATGTGAATGCACCGCATTGAAACAAAAATAAAAGCGCCTTTCAGCTGTTGAATTTTAATTCTCTTTGTTTTGAAATGATAAATATAAATAATTAAAAGTGCTGGACAATTACCCGACAATAAAAAAGGGGTTATTCGTTATAACACTAATTTACGTTCATCGATGTCAGTTGAATGACTGTTTACCTTTGCACGTTTTATACATTAGCCTAATAGGGGTTTAATGCTTGATTGTTTGTTTAAAAAATTAGTTGTTTTAAAAGTAAATTCCGTTAATTTTGTAAGACATATTTTTTATTTGATTTTATATTTGAAAGTATTTATACAAATTGTTTCACTACATTACAACAATCTGAACAATACGTTTAGTTATTGTTCAGAAACTTGTATGACTGTCAATAACTAATTTTTTGTAATGGGTAATTACCATGTGTCAATAAAAATATATAATACAAAATTATTATATTTACTATACTTTGAGTATTTAAAGTATTTAAAATATTATGCATTTATCAAATCAAAGCCTAATGTATTTTGATAATGTATTTAAATACTTATTTACAAAGTATTTGTCGAAGTATTTAAACACTAAATTTAAAGTAATTTGCCAACCTTGAACGCACGCATTGTAGCGGTTAACGGACGTTGTTGGCGACGGACGCCTGTGCAGCGCGCTAGTGTGTTCCCGGCCCTTATGAGTGTCGCGCTCTGACGGAGGCATTTGAACGTCCGTCATTCGATATTCGTGTGTCTCTAGTCTGAAGCGCCGCCGGCGTGCTTCTCATAGCTTGGAGCGCACTGCATTTGAATCTGCGCCGTGTCGATCTGGTCCACTGCATCCAGCAAGGACAGAATTACCCAAAGTGCACTCTTGTGCCAGAAACTGCAACTGTGGGTTTAGCCATGTCAGGGTCGTGGACAAAGTCACTAGCTTACTGCAGTTCACAGGCGTTGCGATCAAAGCAACTGGGGCGAGAATTAAAAGTAAGGGTTTTCCAAATAGTTCCAGTTGATACCCGGCCGACGACAGTCATTTTTAAAAGTCGGTTGACAGCCATTTCACCAAATTTAGCTGCAGTAATTCCCATTTCCTCTACTAATGCAAAGAAATTATCCATCAAAATACAATAACACGACACTCAGATTTCAAATTATTAATAAAGGTCAAAATTAAACATTCTGAATGTAAAGTACCATGACTTTTGTGTTTACATAAGAGTACAAAATTTGCATTAACTTTCTAAGTTCAATTTCGGTGTAACAGTCAAAAATGCTTCCGTTTAAATGATGCCCGCCCATGAGCGAAAGTAGTTCATTTATAGAAACTATTAACTTGTTTCACATTATTAATATATACAAAAAATAACAGTGATTGAATAACACATAGCGCAAAACAAAAACAAGGAAAGAAGTGTTCGGGTAACCCGGGCTTCCCAGTATAAAATCAAATTGACAGCCTTACCTTAATATGATTTTAGTCCAATTTGGTTTTATGTCGTTGTTTTCATTATCGTTATCGTCCATTTCCCAGATTTTTCTACATAATGTTTACAGTATGAGATACTGTCAGGGCATGAATTTAAGTATTGAGGGGCCTCTCAACGCAAAATTATTTGCCAGCCTCCGTAAAAGTAGCTTCAACTTTATTAAATAAAAGCTCATCTTAATACAAGTACTTTCTTTACAAATACAAATGAAAACGTAAAAAATATATACATTTAGACGTATATTATATTTCTTACATTAAATACTTTCTACAATAACATTTTACACAAATGCAATTAACTGTACAATAACTAAATGACCTAGTTAATATATTTTTACATGTATAAAATATTTAAAAAATAACTTTGAAATTTAAAATACTTTTTTTAATTACAAAACTATTTGAGTAACAATTATTTTACAGGAACAAAAATATGTTATGCATGTGTTGCTCTGGGAGGCTCCCAAAGCAATTGCATGTTTTGCTTAAACGTAAATTCGGACCTACGATAAAAGATCGTACTTTGCTTACATATGTCACATTCAATTTTTAATAGTTTCTGACTGTTAATATTAAAAAAATGTGTCACTCTTTCTTGCTTCTTTAACTGAGTATTTTTTTTTGTCTCTGGATTAACTGCCTTTCGCATGACCCACCATCTGCCAAGGCGCAAATCCTTCTCTTCACGTGCTCGAATGCTGTGCAGGCGTGATGGGCATTGGCGACGACTGCAAGGAGTCTGCGCAGTGCCAGCTGGCGCTGGGCCCCTCTGCCGAGTGCCGCTCCCTGGGGTGGGACGGCTCCTTCTGCCAGTGCATCGACGGCGCCCACGAGGTGGACAACCGCTGCTACAACACTTCCAGTCAGTGAGAGCCACTACCAGGGCTTCGTGCACTAGTCCAGGGGTTGCCAACGGGGTCGATACCAGCCCTCTGGACGTCGATCATAGTTGAAAGAGGGTCAACGATGGGGAAGGGTTCTTTTGGGTTTCCGAGAGTACATTGGCGATTGATGGGTATTACCAAGATGTTATTGATTACAAACAATATTGAAAGAAGTTGATATTTATTTACTTTCTTCTTATTAAAATTTGCTCCTCTTTTTTTAACCATAATTCATATGAATGAAAATCAAATTTTGTGCTATTATTAGAATTTTCTTCTAACGTCTTTATATTTATAATATTAAAAATAATAATAGTAGAAAAATAATAAAACGTATTTCTAGTAATTTTTCTTAAACATTAGTTTTTGTTATTTATGTTAATTATTTTTAGTAATGTATGCGCCATTAATTGTACTATGAATATGATGTGTGCTGCATATTATAGATAAAACCCTAAGGGGCTCGATGAAGCGAACAATTTTTTTGAAAGGGTTCGATGTCGGAAAAAGTTTGGGAATCCCTGTGCTGAATACACAAATGTGCAGAAAACGTGTTCCTTTATCAGTCGCATACCAATAAGGCAAATCATTGATAGACCCCTGATACATTTCCTCTCTTTGTTTAGGAAATAATGTTACATCATTTTCAACATTAATTATTAAAATCTTTCTGAACCATTGATGAAAACATCGTCTTTCATCCTAAAAGGGATGTTTACAAAATAGTTCGAAACCGTCGACAGGAGTAATCGTCCCGTGGAATCTTCGGTGTTCTCTTACAGTGAGTCCTCCCTATAACCTCGTTGAAAAATTATTTAAATATCTATCGACGTTGTGAACAGCTGTGTAATTGGAGATACATTTTGAAATTACATCTGGAATTTTTGTGAAACAATTCTTAGCTCTTCAAGATGTACCATTTTAGGTGTACATACAAGTATATTCAGATACTTACAATACACCCCTTGTTCGATTTCCTGTTTCTTGCGTCCATTGAGATCGATGTAAGCTGCAATCTTACCCTAGAATTCTTTACATTTATTTCATCATCAATTTTGTTTCTAAAGCTCCTATTCTTTTTTGTATTCTGAGAAGATTGAACCAGTGGATTGTTTATTGTTCAAACTTCTAATTACACAATCAATATTTACTTAGACATTACATCAGCTTGAGTTTATCATCCGAACTGGTTTTGATAACATTTTCTACGTAATTGTGTTTTGCTTTAGGGCATTTTAAAATTATTTGAAGAGCATTTTACTGATTATTTTTGACGATGTTTTATATCATCAAAATCCGTCTCTAGTGATAACCAATATAATGATGTTATAAGAGTTATGACACGAAAATGGTATGTTTTATACACTTTGAAAAACCTTCAAAACGTAATTTACGTTTAAAAATATTACATTTTGCGTTCTTTCAAAAAAGTTCAGCAATCTCATCGACATTAATAATTAATAATAGTCATAATGTTTTATACTGCTTTCATGCTCCGTATTACGAAACTGATCCTCAAATTGCTAAGTCTGACTAAAGAAAATCAAAGTGGACAAATATAACTTGGTGCGTAAGCGTGGACGTGCGTTGCAGAGGTGGGCGAGCGCTGCGTGGTGAAGAACAACTGCCGCATCGAGGGCGGGCCGACGCTCACGTGCGACGCAAGTGTGTGCGTGTGCCCGCGCCTGCAGCACGGCAGCTCCGACGGCCTCCGCTGCCTCGAGGACAGACGTAAGTACCAATTCAATTCTGCGATTACGGATCCGGACAAAAAATGAGGGAACGGGAAAAGATGTCTTTTAGGCGCCAATAGAAGGCAGCTGGGAAGAGGGAGGGAGAAAACCGGCAATCTAGATATTACAAAACTAACTAGCTCGAGAACGTCTGTGCATTCTCCATCACCACTAGTTTAAATTGCTGAAACATGGAGAGAGAAATGGATGAAAACGGGAAACTTTTACTTCGAACACAGAAACATCGCTTACCTAGAACATATGTGTAGTGATAATCGGTATCATTTCATGAGAAAATTATGACATTCTCTAGGAAAGGTTCGGGGAACGATAATTAGGGTTTGGGAAAATAGCACTGGTTAGTAGTATGAGTGGAAACTGGACTGGAGAGGAAATCATTAAGTATATAAGTAGGGGAAAGGGGGTCTAGAGTTGACATTTTTTTCATTTAGAATGCTATAAGATTTTAAATAATAATTTATTTATTGGCTTTAAGCTCAGTCATACGCCGAAGATTCAATAATGGAAATAATGAACAATACATCAAAGCAATAAGAATACAGTTACTCAAAAACACAAAAACGTATTTACAAAAAAAAAAAAAATTAAAACTAACAAAATGTTTAACATATTTACATTGTACTAGTATTAACAACGATCAAAAGTATTAAATCTTCGTAAAAAATCTTAAATTTAATTCAATAACTTATTAATTCAATAAACTATTATATCAATACTTCAAATATTATATTAATTATTTGTTCTTGACATTTGCCTGATGATGGAAATAATTTCCGAAACGTTGCTGTTATTACGTATTACATGTAACATTGATATAAAGCAGTGATATAATTTTCTGTCTTTAAATTAATGGCCAAATTCATTTCGCCGTTGTCCCCCGCAGTATTACAATACTTTCTCTATAGTACGTACGCAGTAGTGAGAAAGGAAAACTTATGAACCTGCACAATACTAGGTGCTAAGGATACAAATTACTCGCTTGCTCAAATGTGAAGTAAACCTGTGTTTAAACAAAGGGATGAATTTAAACCAAGGGGAGAAATATTTTGAATATAGTTTTTTATACATACACATTTGTACACTGTAGCCCCGTGGAGAGTTAATGTGGACAACACGTGGGGCAATTTGGGATACACACAAAGACAGTTACTTTTTTATTTGTATTTTTAATACATTCGCTCACAATATGATTTTATTAGAAAGAGATCTGAAGGCTATTTATGCAATGTAAAGCATCCTTCACTGTTTTCTCAAGAATATTACATTTGTGGGTTTTCCTAACTAACGTCTAAAATGAGACCGTCTGAAATCTGACCATCTGAAATGAGAAAGAAGAAAAGTAACTAATTAAAAGAGATAGCAAATATTGTCTACAAAAGGTAGAGATTTTATTATTTTTCGTTCAATAATTTTCAAAACAGTTACATTTAAGATCAGGGTTGCATTGAAACAATATGATATTGTATTTGTAATCTAAATTAATCATTCATCAAACTTTCCTAAACAGTATAGAGTTGGTCATTTAATTAATAATTTTTGTATATATGAGATTACATTTATATATACCCTGAACAAAAACTGTAAAATTTTGTTGTTCACATTATCCACAATGTCCAAATTAACCTCATTCTCCATTTTGAAGATTTTGTGTCAGAATCATTTTATACTAAAATGAAAAATACTTTTATTGTGCGCAGAAGATACCTAAAACAAGTTTTCATATTAAGTACATTTAAAATCAATATTTTAAGAACAATACGTCTTACTTACTTTTTAATGGAATCGAAATTTGTTTGAATTAACCCAGAAAACATACTTTCCACCATTACACACCAATCAGCTCTTTTATATTTGTATCTTTCGTACGCGATCCTACTGGCATCTGCATATTTTTATATTGCTATCCCATTACTTTGTCACCTTGGTCTACATAAACTTAAGGCCATCAACGACATTCTTTTTCGTCCATCACACTTCAGTTAGTGAGATTTTTAAAAAAAGACCTTTGTATCAAGTGAAAATTAATGTTTTCATTTCAGATCTCGGGGACAGGTGCTTCGAGGACGATGAATGCGTGACGACCAACAGTCAGTGCATGGGGATTTGCAAGTGCAGAGTGAGCTACGTAACCGACGAGAAAAAATCTTTCTGCTTGCGAGGTAGGTATTGGCCACTATTTGAGTTTTCATCTTTTTTAAACACTAATGTGCAATTATATGGCAAATATGCAATTGTTGACTAACCAGTATTTTCATCGGGGTAGGGCATAATATAAATAATAACTATATTAGTCATAATAATAAATATAACATAACTAATTATGAATAATAAAAATGTATAAAATAATAAAGACAATAATTAAATACTGTAAAGAGCAATCAAAAATAAATTCAAACTTATAAAACTAATAAGTACTTAAATATGGATAGCAATAAAAATAATTGAATTAAATTTTTCAGTAAAATGATTTTCATATAAAAAACTATAATAATAATAATAATAATAATAATAATTATTGAGTCACATATATACAATTACAATCGTGTATGACGAGTCAATATGATGCCTTGGGTGGAGAGAGCGAAGTTATATTACTGTTCAGGAGCAAACAAGGGGCCATCTCAGCATTTGCTCAAAGGATCAGGGAAACTGAACAAAACCTGATCAATAAATTTCTTTACGAGAAAACTATTAAATGCATGAATTCAAAATACTATTTTCTTTTTACATATTTTTAGACAATTTACTTTTTAATAAATACAAAAAAATCTAATGTAATTAAAGAAGCAAATTATTAATCTAACATATTTCCTCTTTTCTGAAAATATTACCTTAAACATTTCATTTTTAATTATCATTCATCATTACTTCCTTTGTAACCGAAACAAATATATAGGATGAAAAGATTAATACATCGAGTCCTTTTTCTGATATTAATCAGGGGTTTAGCCTATGTACAGAGGTGAATAATTGCTCTTCACTGTATGCTAGAGAAAAATAAATTAGGAATTAAGACCTAGGAATTAAGTTTCGAAGAAATGTATACATGAAGGAATATTTTGTATGAACAAAGAGAATATGAGTTGGAAGATTTAGGGAATCACTGTCTATGCCCATGTGTGTATATTATATAAACTCAGATTTACAACTTGAACGATGCGTTGATGGAAAAATGTTGATATGTGCAGTGGCGGACAGCATAGGTGACATGTGCACCGAGGACCTGCAGTGCAATCACTTCATCCCTGACTCGGAGTGCTCTCGCTCCGGAGAGTGCACGTGCATCGACGGATACCACCCGGGCCCCCAGGGCGTCCGCTGCTGGCGGTCCTCTTGTGAGTGGAACAGCTTCATGCCCCCTTTTTTCTTTTTACTCCTCGCCTTCTTAATACTCGCTTATGTCTTTCATTTCCTCCGTCTCTTCTTTCTTTTTTTCCTTACTCCCTCTCTTTCCCTATATCCCTCTCATTCCATTTTTTTGCCTTTCTCCCTCTCATTGAACTTCTCTCTCTTTTCACTATTCATTTTCATTTCACTTCTCCCACTCATTACATATATTCCTCTCATTGCTCGCCTCCCTCTCATTTCACTTCTACCTGTCATTACACTTCTCCGTTATTTCAATTACCCCTCACATTTCTTCTCAATTCTTGTCAATATTAAATCAAAACTTGTCATGTTTAAAATGTGGATCAAATTTCCGGATAATCAAGAAAGATTTCTTCCAGTTTAAGGAAATTAACTTTTCAATTTTATCTGGAAATTTCCTGCTTTCATAATTCCACTAATGGCCGAAAAACGACTATTAGTTTCTAGTACAATCATTATAAAGATATCCATGTTATTTCAATAATTTATTCATATTATTTCACGTTATTTCACGTTATTCACGTTATTTTTTATTTCCGGATTAAAAATAAGAGACTTCCTGAAGAGTATTGCTATCCATTTGCAGTACCTGAGCAAGGTATATACAAATAATAATTCGTTTGCATCCCAGAGATTTTTGATTCATGATCACGACTAGTGGCGGAGTTCTCTATTAGTGCTGTTATTGATATTCGATATGCAAGAAAATCGACAAGCGGAGAATTCTTGAAGTCGAAGAAATCCATTTTCGGAGAATCCATTTTCGGTGGTGGCATGTAGTTTCAAAACACCTTCACAGTTTCCGTGATTCTGTTTCAGTCTTGGGCGAGTCTTGTGGTGATAACAACGAGTGTCTGGTGAAGCCCCTGCCCCTCGCCGTCCCCTACAACGACACGCGCACCCAGTGCGTGGACGACGTATGTCGCTGCGCGGACGGCTATGAACCGGACGAGTCTGGGCGGTATTGCAAAGGTGAGCAGCATTTGCATGGCAGAGAATTTGCCAAATGACAAAATGCGGGAAACCGAATTAAGTGTTTCAAGACTAAATCATTAAGAGGTCCTTTAGAGTAAATTTCCTGAAAGTTCAATTCTCGTTTCGGTCAGAATTTCTTCATTATGTTATTTAAAATATTTGTACTCGTAAGCAGTCGCTCCGTGAATTCTTTTTAGTACGATTGAAGTAAAATTTCTACAGTTGACACTAAAATTATGTAAAAAATTGAAAGGTTTTAATTTCTTCCATATATAAGGTTAAAATATATTTTTACCTTGCTTTTTGTCGGTTCAATGCGGAATCGAGGAAAAGTATTGGATTGGATTCAAATATTTGTAGGCAAGATTTCGATAGTAAAATTTGTTTCCATTTGGGGGGAGGGAACAATGGACATCAGCGTATATTTTTTAAATGTATTTCGTTAGATGAGATGGCACTCTTTCATCTTTTACGAGTAGTGTCTTCATTATTAGAACTATAATAAACCCTTAGTGTTGGTATCGATTTTCAACGTTTACCTGTTTATCGATCACCTTCGTTATCCGCTGAGACTCTCTCACACCTTGAAGATTGTATTGCAAAAATCCTTTCCGTTTTCATCATCCACTTTATGTCTTGGGGATTTAAAAATAGATGTTGCTGATAGAAATACTACACACCGAACTGTACATTACTAAGGTGCGTTTACACGAAGAGACAAAGTATCTCCTTAACTTCATGGACGTCACGGAGATAAACTCTCTCTGACGGTTTACACGGTTCGAAAATATCTCCCGAAACGCGAGTCTCCTAACACACGGGAGAGTTGGTTCCTGAGATATCTCCGGAAAAGATATCTCCTTGCTGTTACACGTGACACAAATGTCTCTCGTCTCCGGCGGCAGCCATCTTGAATAAGCAGCTCTGCGAGGCAGTTGGAGGTTAGAATGTGACAACTGTTGCCAAGCCTGCCTGTGCCCACTTTCAATTTTGAAGAAGCCCGGAGGAAAAAATAAGAGACAAGAGTGAGGATTTTGGTTTCTTGAAAGAAGAAAGAACTGATATTTATAAAAAAAACTTTGATGGCGGAACTGCAAGAAGAAGAATTTAAAAAAAAAATTATTTGCATACCTGTTCAATTGCATTACATTTTATTCAGAGATAATAAAAAAAACAAGTTTTTAATTTATGGACGATTAAAATATGTTTTTGAAAACGTGGTCGGAGTCCAGGATGAGAAATAGTTTTGACTTAATTGTAAAGGTTGAAAAATGCGGTAAAAGTTGATAATTGTTTTAGAAACTTTTGTAGAAGTTTAGTTTATAAACGATTTGAAAGAATCAATTGTAGTTCTCTGTAAATTTCGTGTTATGATATTAAACTAGAAAAATAGATCAAAATGTTGCGAAGGAATATTTTGAATATATTGAAATTTGTTAATTTTGGTAGAGAGCGCATTACACCTAGGGTAGGCATATGAAGAGAAAACCTAATTATTGGTTTTAGTATAACAAATTTTACAATTGATCCGTAATTTGAAGTTTAATTTATTATAGGATAGTATAAAAATAATATATTATAAACATAGATGTTCATGTACAATAAGCTTCCGTATACTTCAGAAAGGATTTGATTTTTGATTAGGAAATATCCTCCACGGAATCTCAAAAAGCCAAGAAAAGTGCGAAAAGAAAATTTATTTCGGAAAGAGACTTTGGTGTGACGGTACCCGGCCGGTTTTTGGCCACCAGGGAGATACAGTATTTGTCATTTGTATCTATAATTCGCCCAGTATATAATTTCCACAAAAGAACAGAAATCACGATCACGTTGAACGCCGCACAGGCACAGACAGACGCATGAATGGCCTAATCGAAGCACGGAAACACTTGCAGAGAGGCAAAAAAGTTCTCCACTCTCTTTGAATTAACTATTTATCCTCAGGGATTACCGATTCCTCATCGATTCCAGAGCCTTTACACTGCTCTCTGCGAGACTTCGAAAATCTCTTGTGACGTCATGTCTCCGCGAGAGGAGATCGCTCGCCTGAGAGTTTACAACGTGTTCTAACCAGTTCCGAAGTTAGGGGAGAGAAAACTGCTTTCCGTGCTAAACGCGCCTTAAGTTTTGTAACTTCTGAAACTTTGATCAAATAATTAAAGACGAGAATAACACCATCATCCTCTACTATCGATATAATTATGTTATCAAAATCATTTTGAGAAATTGATTCTGGGGTCACTGAATCCGCGTCATGTACGCAGATAATACTCAGCGCGTGTTGTCTTTTGCTCTGTATCAGGTTGCGCATGCTGCAGATAAACATAATTTGGATGTTGTGCATGCATCGTCGTCACTGAATTCTTTGATGTTGAACGCTCGGAAAACCTTACTGAACGTGATTAATCCGACCAATCGTTTTACCTCCAGAAATGAATTTGACACTGCATATGAATCATATTACGATAAATACATTTAAAACATGTATATTACTTGGATTACTTATTGATTCGGATTGGTCATTCACATCGGATGTAACAAACAAATGTCGTGCCTCATATCTCAGAATAAGAAAATTATTTCCACTTCATTATGTCACACCAATATCTCTTAAAATATAATTGATATCCTCCTTGGCGTTATCAGAACTTAAATATGGAGATATCTACGGTCTGTATCTGTCTCTACGATTATCTGTAGAATCCAGATGTTTCAAAATTAATGTCTGCGTTTTCGTTTTCATCTGCGGAAATACGATCGTGAAAAAGTATCTTCGCGAACAACAACACGTGAGACGTCCCTTGAATCTGTGAAACTCCACATTTTCATCAATACCTAGTCATCGAACCCATAAATTTAAATCTGCCATAAGTTATCTTGCCCCATATTTTTATTATGCACTTTCTGAAACGTTACGTAATACTAACCTCGATCTGTTTCGTAGAACTTTGCCCATATTCGGAACAGATACTAATTGTTCCAAATTCGATTTATTTTAATATATTTATGTATGCTCTATTCTATTTTTGTTCTATTTATATTCTATTACATTATTGCTTTGTTATTTTCGTAGACCTACACTCAATCTGCTACCATCTGACAGTACGTATGGTAATACTGGGTAATAACATACTTGTATAGTCTTGTAAGTACGTGAAAATGTGATAAATTTATTTTGTATTTCGCGCCAGGTGGCGATATATTATGTAATCACGCAAACTGCAATAGTGAATAAGCTGAGTTTGACCTCTTATTTTCTCATTATTTGAAACAATAACGTATTACTATATATAAATAACAATATTTTCGTTAATTATCATAATTACTATAACAATAAGAAACCATTTCAATATATATTGCACTTTTTCTGGGTGAGGCGTTGTCCCAGCATTGGTGTTCTTCGTGTACCGAAAAGAGATTAGTATGAGACAGTTAAAGGTCTCTGAAATGAACGAGGCATGCCGAAATTTAGTAATGGGCTCCCTGAATTTGAAACGTATATTTTGATTTTGGGAAGTACTATATATCAAGACCCAAAACATTTTTTAAATTATCTGAAAATATCTCCATATTTTCTCCTTAATTTATTTCATCGTATTAAACAAAAGACGCCCAAAGAAATGACTTAGGTCGCATTTTCGTTGAACTCTCTGAATTTTAGAAAATTTCAAAAGTTCACATTTTTTATTGTGTCTTCCTACAACCACAATATTCAAGGCAGACTTTCTTAATGAATTTTTTTCATCTAAAACTGATCGTAAAATGAGATAGGACAATATTTTGAACATATGAATGGTTTTGGCGAAATTTACGTGGAATATACGCAATTTTAAAACACGATTTTTTCAAGAATGGCAGAAAAAGGTATCTTTTCAAATTAATCAAACCTCGTCTTACGATATTCTAAGTAGTTCTGTTTAACTAATCCCTTCGGCGCAGTGCAATTAACGACCCCTGCTGTCTCATTCATATAGAAGGCAGAGAAATTCAGTAAACATTAGTTGTAATCCCAACAATATTCTAATAACTTCCAAGTCTCCGCAAACTACCCATTGTTATTCTTTACAATTCATTATTTAACAGTTCTTCCATATTTTAATACGTTTCTTTTAATTGAATAGAATGGGCTCCGGCTATTGAAGCATAGTGATATCCAATATGAATGAGAATAGCTTCAAGCTTCGTTTCAAAAGTCAATAAACAACTTCCATTTATCACTGACATGCTTATTCCAAATTTTGAAAGTAAAATTGAATGTTGTTGCAGTATACGAGCAGACCCGCTTTCGTGAAATAATCAAGTAACTCCTCTTCTATCTTGCAAAGAAAAACATTGTGCCAGGTCTGAATATATATTTCTCTTTCAACCGTGAACCTAAAACCTTCACCGCTTCCTTTGAGAAAATGAGCTTTTATTATCCAACATTATTTCTAACTTGTGCATACTTTCTGAAAAAAGTAAGATTTCCCGTGTTTGTGATGAAGATTGCAGCGATTAATTCGAGGAAATATCAAGCGTTTTTAAAACCATTATATATTTCTAGTCGTACCAATGTACGAGCGTAGAGGAATGACTATATTTCCATTCAGTTATAAGACATAGTATGTAAGCATGTATGCAGTATACTAATAGATAAAAACAGTAGCGGCCGGTACGGAATTCTATTGGTGGTGCCAGTTAGTGATGCTACATTGATAACAAAACATCGATGTTACTAATTATCGATGTTCAAAGTTAAAATATCGATGCTAATAAAACATCTATGAAAAAAATTTGTTTTTAAACATCGATGCGATGATTTAAAACTGATTTAGTAATCTCTAAAATGAAATTCGTGTGCATCAACATTTAATTATACAATGACCGTGTTCTATCAAGTTATAATGAAGATTAAACTGAAAACAAACTAAACATCATAAGAACAAATAAAACTACTCAAACAGCCTAAGCGCCGATAGTAATCTCAGGAGGTCACAACCTCCTCAGTTCACCGAAGA